GGGGGGGGGGGGGGGGGGGGGGGGGGGGGGGGGTCAATTTAAAAAAGTGTGCGGTTCTACCGTTTGCTCCTGGTCACACACCCGGATAAGAATATCTTCTAAGCATTTTATTTATTTATTTTGTCTGAAGGTGCCGTTTAGCAAAGTTCAGTTGATTCTTTCAGTTTCCTTTATGCTCACTGAATAATAATGTTTGGACGCAGCCATTTAATTTACCTTTTTTTTATTATTATTATTTTTTTTCTCACAGGAACATGGATCCAGGGGACGACAAGCGGCGCGCGCCGGTGGGCAGGTGAGAGGCAGCTGCTGAAAGGCCAGGACCTGCTCTGCTGTTGTCTGCCTGTACACAGAGGCTTACAGCAGCCCCTATCAAGGCTGCTGGGGAAGCTACTGGGTGTGACAGCCACTGGCCCTTTCCTCTGACACAATGGATAGGAATTGTTGTAAAACAGTTCAGATGAGTGAATGCATCATGACGTAATCCAGCATTATACATTTTTGTTCACATTATTAGAACAATTTGACATGGGAAGTTAACAAGGCGTTACTTTTAGTTAAGTTGTTATACAGTATTTGATTAAACAGACAGTTGTGGACATATATCCATGTAGAAAATAGTATGTATGACAATGTGGCACACTATATTATTACAATAATAGTATTATTATAGTGTTATTAGTAGGCATTAGTATTATTAACAATCAACTTTTTTATTTATTCTGTAGAGCATAGAATAAACGCCAAATAATTTGTCAAAGTAATGGCTGGTATGGTTACATATCTAAAGTGTAGATAAAAAGTTGATTATTTTATTGCCAAATAAAACAGTTACCAGTCTGTAAAAAGAAATTAAATGCAGTATTGTACAGGTTTCGTTATTTTTGGATAAATTGACTCAGATATCTTCCTTACAGCCCCGTTTGTGTGCACAACCCACACCTGGATGCACTGACAGATGACATCCTATACCATTTCAGTCTAGGAACTGGCACCCATAACCTGCCAGCGATGTTCGGTGATGTCAAGGTAAATAACTGATGTGATTTTAAAGTTAGCATTTCTTTATATAACATCATATTATTGTATTTGATGGTAGCAGTTGTAATTATTGGCAGCACACTCTCTTCATAATCATCACAGTTTATTAACACTTTAAAGAATAAAAAATAAGCATGTTTCTAAGTTCGAAGCATGTTTTCCCAATACTGTGAGAGTGTGAAATGAAAAATCAGATTACATACCATGAAACCAGGATAACCGGTACAACTACCGCGTCATTGTATTTACCCAGCAAGCATTTATTGTGTGTGTGTTTTTGTGTTTTTACCCCTAGTTTGTGTGTGTTGGGGGCAGCCCCTGGAGGATGAAATCATTCACAGAGTTCATTGCTGCTGAGCTTGTGATGGAGGACCCCAAATCAGAGTATCCTAACATCTGTGCCGGAACAGACCGCTATGCTATGTACAAAGTGGGGCCTGTGCTCGCTGTCAGTGTATGTAACAGTGATCTAACTTTAACTTTAACATTTGATTACATAATTTTAGAATGAATGACTTGTGATGTAAGACAAAGTTGTGGGTGATTTATCTGTTTGTATTTTTGCAGCATGGTATGGGAATTCCATCAATTGCCATTATGTTGCACGAGCTGATAAAGCTGCTCCATCATGCAAACTGTACCGATGTTACCATCATACGCATCGGGACCTCCGGAGGAATAGGTATGAATATTTATTTGCTTATGTATGTGTTTATTTACTATATACAGTGGCTATTGAATAACCAGGGAGCCGTATAACCATTTTGTTTGCATGAGATGCCCAAAGTGCTGCATGTTTTCCCTAAATTTAAGCTTAGTTTAATCAGGAAAGAGCATCTGTAACTCAGTGAAATTGCATATTTTCTTGTTTTTTCAGTGCACATCTGGCACATTGATATATCTGTATTTTGAATAGCCATTTGCAAACCGCAGTGCACTGAACCGCACACCTTGGTGTGCAAATGGCAGACTCCCTCTAATGATTCGGTCAAGCTTCAGCGGTTTATCTTAGGTTTTCTTTTATCTATAGAGCCACACTGCTGAAACATCTGCTTGAATTTGTAAATCGTCTGTTGCGTTATTGATGGCTGATTACATGAAAAATCTCCCCAGCTTTGTGGAAAACAACTTTTTATGTAAAAGCAGCATCAAACTGTTAAGTAACTGTAGCCCAGACCTCCCAGGTCACTTAGTCCACGGGTTCCAGAGGTTTTCCTAACTTATTATAGACCAGAGCAACTACAAAGAGTAAATCCAGAGGTAAGTAAGGGTCCATTTGAAAGACAGTCCTGTGGTTTTTATTCAGAGTGAATAGTATCTCATTTAGTTAGTTGGAAAGTGGAAATGATGAGACAGGCTTCCCGAAATGACAGGAGTTAGTGACATAAAACATGCAGACAACAACAAATAGATAAAAGATGACTTTATCCACGAAGAAAAATAATTAGAAAACCTTTTATCTTTAATTTTATGCATCTGGTTTTATATCTATTTACATCAGGGAAGGCACTTACCTTTGACTCGACGTTTGGGGATGTGATGAGAAAGACTTGTTGTAGATACATTTACAAGCCCAGCACTACTTTGTGTTTTCATTTTGTAGCTGACCACAGGTCTTTGTTTAGTAACAAAGAAACCATTTTTGCCACAATATAGAGGCAAAGGTGACTTTGCCCGCAGAGCCGTGTCAGTTAAGTCATTTTGCTGCTAAACAGCTCTGTTTCTGTTTGAAACAGAGGTGTGAGAATTTGTTCAAATCATGTGATCCCAACTATAAAAGGTAAAACGTATTTTTTGAAAGGGGGTAAAGTTTCCTGAAATTGAACAAACCTTCAAACTGCTTCATTGATCCAGTTGTCCACACTGTTTTTATTTTAGAAACAGAATTTTATGCCAGTGAAACATATTAAAAAAGCTCTTTACGCCTGCATTTATGATGCCTTCACTTCATGTAACTCATCAGTGCCGTGGACAATTTGATGAATCTGAGTACCGATGGCTTTTGCACCTTCTGCTGAGACGCGCCAGGATTAATTATCAACTTAAACTTACTCTTACTTTGAGTAAAGAATACATTTAAACCCGTGTGGCTATCCTGATACACTCACATGATCTCTTGTACAGCGTTGCCTCAGGGTGTGAATGTCACATGCCACCGGCAGCGTTATATGGTCTTGACCTTTACTCAAAGCTATAAAAACAGACTTTTTTTCTAATGATTGTACACACTAGCATGCTTAAAATGGTCAAATGATGACTTTTGGATGTCAAAGGCCCTGGTATCGCAGTTATCTCAGTCTCCGGCTGATGTTTTGTTTTGCAGGACTTGAGCCTGGCACTGTTGTCCTCACCAAGCAGTCGGTGGATGCCACCTTTATGCCCAAGTTCGAGCAGGTGATCCTGGGAAAGACGGTGGTGCGGAACACTGATCTGGACCATAGCCTGGCCGAAGAGCTGCTGCAGTGCAGCAAAGAGCTGAAGCAGTTTGAGACAGTCATAGGCAACACCATGTGTACGCTGGATTTCTATGAAGGTATTAAAGAGGATGCATCTTTAAGTTGTGATGTTGTTTGCCCACCTTTTAAAGCCTTAAATTATCTTCTCTGTCCAATCAAATGGCCAGGACAAGCCCGCTTGGATGGGGCCTTTTGCTCATACACAGAGAAGGACAAACAGGAATACCTCCTCAAAGCCAGAGATACAGGTGTCTGCAATATTGAAATGGAATCATCAGTTTTTGCTGCAATGTGCAAACTAAGCGGTCTACGAGGTAAGAGCGTGTCTCCAAAAAATCATTTAATTTTGACACCTTTTGAATTTTGAAATATCTGTCACGCTTGTCTTCCTGCGCGAAGCCGCCGTGGTGTGTGTAACACTTTTGGATCGACTGAAAGGGGACCAGCTGAGCAGCTCACATGAAGTTCTAAACAGTTACCAGAAACGTCCGCAGATCCTGGTCGGGCACTACATTAAGAAGCAGCTGAGGGCCAAAGCAGAACGCCGCTAAGTGCAATGGTTTCACCTCTATCCACCCAGCGTGACCTCAAGTCAAAACGAAATACTCAGATATTGCTCTTCAACAGTTTTATGAGTTGTTTCTTAACTGCATGCACATATTTAAATGTTTCCAAATTAATTTATTATTTTTAAATGACGCCGCATTTATACATTGATGTTAATGCAGTTGAAATGTCAACATCATAAAAGACAAGAATGCACTTTTTTCTATGTATTTATTTAGAATGTATTCTAATTTGAGCATCAAATGTTATGTAAAAGCTCAACATGTCTGACTTAATAAAGTAATTTATTAGATATGATATATTAAGTTCCTGATCCTCAAAACTTGAACTTCACATGTGCTTTACCAGAATGTCCTTTAATTAGATATAATTGAAATATGTCTTGTTTTATTAATGAAGAGTGACACTGACTTCTATCTGTTTATTTAAATTTACTCCAAAGATGCTTGTGGTCTTGGGTTGCATTTTTTAAAGATATAAATAAAGAGATATGCACTCAGTAAATGTTTGTTCATGTTATGTGCAAATAATAAAATATCCAGAGATTGTATTCTTCATGTGGTTATTATTCTACATCACCGATTTACATGTACAGATCACCTTCTGATCAGATGTATTTGTTAGAATAATCAGTGTGGTATCTGTCCATTTAGAGTAACATTGCTGTATTTATTTGCTTCTCACATGCTTAGTATTGGGTTGTTTTATACTGCCTTTATACAAAAGACAGTATATGTCAGGTTTTTAGTGATCCTAACATTTGGATCACTGAAATAATTGGAACATTAAAGTATGTTAAGGCTTGACTATTTGGGGCCTTTATTTCTCAGTCCTCTGCTGAATTAGATTTATTTGTCTCCCATTGTTCTTTGATTGAGTCGACCCTTATTAAGGCTCCAGCAGTGAGTCTGGAGAGCGTTGCTGAGTCTGTTCTGGGCTGTCTGTAGACCTCAGCCCACACTGGTGGATGCTGAGCGCTGTGCGCGTCAGTGACCAGAGGAGGGTCTGTCTGCGCGCTCCCGGGCGCGCTCCCTCACTGTCTGCCACCCGATCCAAGCCCGGTCTATTCGCTGACTCAGTGCCTTAAGGAGCATCACCGTTGACCAGAACAGAGCCTCAGCATCCTCTACCGAGAAACACATCAGCCATGGCCAAAACAGCGACCGGTAAGCACAAAGACTTTCATCCTTTCTGCACGGATGGGTGGATGGATGGATGGATGGATTGATGAGGGGGTTGATGGTTGGATGCACTCATGACAGGTGCATCCTTTCTCTGTCGGCCCCATGGTGAACCGGCTGCTTACCACGCTTCTGACATGGCTCCGTGCGCAAATGTTTTCTGGTGAATCATTTAAACTAAAACCGAATCATTCACATGGCGATTTCATTTTTCTGTCGACCGTGAGCCCATTGTCTGAGTCCCAGAGACAGTAAATCATAGCAGTAACAGACATGAATCCTCAGCATCCTCTGTCGTTAGAAGGCTAAAATGTCTCCTTTCGGATCCTCATTCTATGTGGTAATCATATATTGAGGAACAGTGGCCATTTGAACGGCATTCATGCCTCTAAGAGATGGACTGATAACGCTCCACCTGCGCTTCATGCTACAGCGGCCCCAACATGCAGCATAATGCAGACGGACCCCACCCAAGATGCTGAGCTGCCGATCACTTCGCCAACAGCAAACCTGACAAGGCTTTATGTCTCGGTCTTGTGCATTAAAATGCTATTATTAAATGTTGTTACAATCTGCACGCTTTTAACTGATGCTTTAAAATGTATTTTTTTCCACAACACGAATTGGATTTGTTCCATTTTTAGGACTGCTCTTTTATTCATGCATGTAGCTCTCCTTTTTTCCTCCTAGCTCCCTTTCCTCTCCAGCTGTGGAACGTGTTACAGTTTAATGCATCAAAATGCATTTTTTTTTACATAGGATTATAAAACGGAGCAGTTATCCATTTGCATTGAAACACTCTAATATTTATTTTTCTTCCATTTCTAGCCTTTGTATATAAAAAAAAAACTGGAATGCATCATGCATCGGTTAGCTAATGTGGTAGGTCAAACATTCAGGATATCAGTTTTATCTGGGTTTGTTTACATAGCTTTGAATATTACTCTTAGGTGAGGCAGCCCAGTTGATCGTCTTTAATGGTACGATGTGCCAAATGGCCTCACCGGGGCGTGCAGAGGTCCACTGAGGTAGACAAATGCACGGGAAGATGGGAGACAGGCCAGCCCTGCAGCAAGAGGCCGCTTCTCTCACTGGCCTTTGCAGCAGAAGGCTTAGCAGTGCGGATACTCTGTAGCGTTCTCTGAAGGAGCCAGGTGGGCACTTTGTCAAAAAACCTAAAGGATGGGACATGAAATTGCGGGCAAGGCTAAGGAGAGTCCAAAAGAAGGGACGTGAACATCATCCAGATCATTACAGCTGTGAAAATACTTTTCAGGCGGACAGAGACGTTTTAGTGGGATTTATAGACTAAAGCACTAAAGCACAAAAAAGCAAAACGAAAATTAAAGAGCTGACACGGAGAAGTGGAAGAAGGTGTTTTTTTGTCTTCATATTCAAATATCTTAGCTCTGTACAAACAAAGTAAACGTCTGTGATTGTTTAATGGAAAGCCTAATTCAGATCACCTTTCAGAGCACCTCCATAACAATACACAACTAACAGGTTTTGAAGTCAACATTTCACCCTTTGACATAATCGATAATTTCCTATTCATCAATTATCTGTTTTTTTTAAAAGGTATTAGGTATCTAAACTTTTCCCAGTGTTTTTTGATTGAAAGGATACCTTAGTTGGTCGTTATTTGACCTGTTTCGGACACACCTGAATGCTTATGTTGTCTTTGTCCAACCAGCATACAAAGAGAAGATGAAGGAGTTGTCCGTCCTCTCCCTCATCTGCTCCTGCTTCTACCCAGAGGCTCGCAACAAGCTTGTATGCGAGTTTGAAGGTATGGATAAGCTCAAGTATTGATTTCCTTCCAGATAAGACACATTGCCCTTTTATTTTTTCCCTAAGAAAGGAAGTCATTAATAATTCATTTGTTATTGGACAATGATTTGTTTTGTTGGCCTCACCGTTGAATTAATCTGTTATGCAGACATGGAGGTGAAGCCTATAGACAAGCGGGCCTCGGGACAGGCCTTTGAGGTGATTCTCAAGCCTCTGTCTCCAGTGACAGACGTAGCCCACAACCTCCCCTCACCCCCAAAGAGGGATATCTCTTTGGAGGAAATTGAGAAGAAACTGGAGGCTGCAGAAGAGCGAAGGAAAGTGAGTGTTTGCTTTTTGTCGGATGAATATGAAACCTTAAAATGGGAATTATGCTGAAAAAAAATACTTTTTTGTGTGTGTGAAAAGTATCAAGAGGGTCAGGTGCTGAGAGCTCTGGCAGAAAAGCGAGAGCACGAGAGGGACGTGTTGCTTAAGGCCATGGAGGAGAACAGCAACTTCAGCAAGATGGCTGAGGAGAAGCTCCAGCTGAAGATGGAGCAGATCAAGGAGAACCGTGAAGCCCTCCTGGCAGCCATGATCGAGCGTCTGCAAGAGAAGGTGAGAGCTCTGGAAATCTGAGAGGCGTCGTGGATCTGCAAAGGCACGACTAATCCCCTCCCGTTTGTGTTTTTTTCTGGTCCAGGAGAGGCACGCCGCCGTGGTGCGCAGAAACAAAGAAATGAAGGAAGAGCTGGTAGCATGAGCCTCACACAAGTCCAGATTTCTGTGGTCCATCCATGTCCCTCCATCCATCCTCGCCCTGCCCTCAACTTCTCCGAAACAGACACTCTACCCTGAGGGCCGAGAGGCCCAAGGACCTCACCACCACATCACTGCACACCTTCTCAACAGTACTCACACTTCTCAGTATTATCAGTGATTAAAAACTTCAATTCCACGTCATTTTAGAAATGAACAGATCTGTTGATTTAAGAAAGAATGTAAGAATATGGCTTTTGTTTTTTGCAACTCTATCTATCTATCTATCTATCTATCTATCTATCTATCTATCTATCT